GGTTGCTGATCCTGTTGCACTGTGGCTGCCAGAGCACTGGGTATGCCATCATTCTGGTAATAGTGGTTGGAATTTAGGCCCTGGCATTGTTGCTGGTGGCACTAGGGCAACCATTCTGGAAGTAGCAGGGCCCTGGCTGGCTCCTTGCTATTTTGCTAGCTTGGTGGGCTGCTTTCTCTCCTGCCTACCCCACTAGGAGCATGGGGGTGGGGGAGGGAGAGTGGAGGACTATGGGCTGTTGGCGGACCAAAGGAATCCCCTGTAATACTACTTGTAACTAACCAGATGTTACATATAGTGCTATAAAATGTCTTGCTACAGAAACATTGCAATGTGAAATAGCCTCAAAGATGGGCTCATACAATCTTTTCGTTGTGGGTCTGCCATTTTTGTAGTGGATCCACCATTCTTGTCACAATACAGAGGTCTGTGCAATATCTTTTAGTAACATTACAAGCATATTTTTAGCATTGCAAGTGTGGTATCTGTCCATACACTGTGTTTGTGTGTGGGGGAGGAGGATTCTCAGCTATGCATGTTGAGGAAGATGAAAGATATCATGACCAAAGGCGTAAAACCAAGAGCGAGGAAAGAAGTTGAAACATACAGGAAGGACTGCAATGGTTGGGGAGTGAGCTGATTGTTATCTACACTGAAAAAATAATCTATATTAGAAAATATTGTTCAACAACATGCTTTAATTAACATGTAATTTTCTACCACTCTGTCAAATCATAGCTAGTGTTGACAATAGCAGTGCTTAAACTTAGGCAATAATGGATTAATTGTAGGTGGAACCATAACTAGTTAATATGTTGCTAAAGAAGATGGGCAGTCTGTACTGGATGCTAGGTGGTGTTTAGCAACTGGATGTTATCTTGCTGGTTTCTAATACAACTTGTGTACTCATGACAGACTTGGGTATGCCTTTACTGCAGAGCTAACATAAAACAGTTAAATTTGCCTCCTTTGAATGAAAATAGGGTTAACAGTGGGTTAACAGCTTAGATGTAGCTAAAGAAGTGCACAGGTCTTGCAATGGTGAGCAAAGAAATGCCTATTTGACTTTGAAAGTATGGGCTTAAGTGTCGTTGAAGTGAAAATGGGATTCAGGCTCTCAGGCCTATATCCTCAAAACTATTTAGTTGCCCAAGTATTTTGAGGACCTACGCCATAAATGGCTTTGATCATCTGGACCTTTGGCATTTTGAACTTTTTACTCAGTCTTGGAGAAAAAAAATTGAACTTCATTTTGTATATCACACTTTCCTATTCCCCTAAAGAACCTTTACCTATGATGTTGTGGTTGGTGATGAAAGTGAGATAAAAAAATAGAGCTTTGGCTTTTTTCTTTCCCCCGCCCTCTTCTTTTCTCCAAATTAGCACCTGTTTTGCTATCCAGGAAACTAAGGGTTTTGTTTGGATAAGCATTCAGCATTAGGCAGGCAAATCATGAGGAAATATTTTTGCCTGAGAATTGATTTGGAAGTCACAAAACGTACCAACATTTCTTTGAATTTGCAAATTCTATGAGTTGATCTAACAGCTGGGTGAATAAGAAGAATGAGGAAGACAATTATCCCATCTGAGAATGTATTATTAAGATACTATTTGACCCCTTGTGTCCAACATTTTGGATTTTTCTCTCTCTCCTTCTCTTTTTTTGTTTTGTTTTAACAAATATCACTCAGACCTCTGGAATCTGGAAAGTGGGCTGGAAATCACATGTTACCTGCATCTCCAGTAGTTGACTCAGGATGAGAATAAGAAACTCAGGAGTAGGTGCAGCCATCTTACTAGCCCTTCCCTCCCTGCTTCTGTCCCAGTCTGTCCTTGCCCAGGAGCACAGGGAGAAGACAGACTTGATGTTCACAATCAACCCAACTGGCAGAGTGGTTTCTTGGGGTCTGCTTCTTTAGTGTCTAATAATATAAAGGGGTCCAGTTCTTCTCCTCTGTCATTCCTCCAAACAAGAGTAGAAGGCATAAATGAGCCATTCGAAAAGTAGAAATCCAAGTGTATGAGCCTTAGTGTCTGAAAGGAGATCTCCAGGGGTTGCTACCTGAGGCTTACATTTTAAGTAGTGACATGAGAGTTTTGGTGTCCAGTCTGAGACGCCTTACTAAGCGTCTCAAACTGGACGCTTTAGTGCATTTAGCAGATGGTTGCTCAGCATTTTCCGGAAACTAGTCCTGCTTGAGGTGTCTCAGTATGGGCACCCAAATCACTAGTCACTCTTGAAAATTTAAATCCAGGGTTCTTGGGAGATGATAGAGCCTTCTGGAAAAGCTTGACAGACCTTATTCTCTTGCTTTTCAGCTTCTATCTAAATCCTTGCCCTCTCTAGGGAATAGACTGTTGTCTGATGTAAGTGGCTATGTTCCAACTTCGCAGAGAGCTGGCAGTGGCTGGTAAACCAGTGTCCATGTGTGGGGTGATATTTCTGCACAGTGAACGGGTTTCAAGACATGGCAAGTTCTTTAACCTTGTTTGTGATTATCTAAATGGAAACTGAGCTTTCCCACTTTTGAGGCTTGCCAATTATTACTGCGTTGTTAGTGCTGATTGTTTCTGCAGTGTCAAGGGTGCACATTGCCTTGATGTATAAACACATAGACAGTCCTCACCTTGTCAAGTATGAGAGCAAGATGTTATGTAACAGAACAAAGTATAGCTCTGGATTATGCTTTCAACATGTTCATGGGGAGACTAATTATCATTCTGGAGTTTAACCTTAACTGATAACTGCAAGTGTTATCTATGGGCGTGTCTGGGTGAGAGGTAGGGGATGGGACCACTTTTCCTGGACAGGATTCTGTTTTAAAAATAACTTTATGCTTCTGTCCATTAGAAGACTTATGTAAATTGGGAAACTATAGTTTTCTTTACCCCAATACTTGTTCCACGAAAAGGATGTAATCAGCCTTTCTGTTGACACTCTGGCACAGAACATGGAAGTAAAATAACGTGAACAAATTTGGCCTTTTTATTATTGTCCCTGCTTTCCATCTAGACTGAAGTTGTTGGGGCTGGACAGTCTCTAGCTTTGCTAACATTTCTGGTTGATCAAGAAAGAGCCATACATTGTATCCTTGTACATCTTGAGAGCTCAGGGTGGCTTTGCGGTTCTGGGCCTGGGGCAGCTCTCTCTACTAGACCCAGCACACAACGGTGTCTTAATAGCTTCTTATATTGTTTTAAAAAGGACCAGTTAAATTGTCCAATACTTTCACATGGATTTTAGTAGATGGCTGACAACTCATAATGCATATTGTAAGAGTTCTACAAGAGAAAATTTGCCTGGATATTTTCTATTGAAAAACTCTGTCTTTCCCTTAGGGAAGGTAAACAAAATAATGGACAGTTTAAGGAAAGTTGTTCAGTCACTGTCATTTTCCTACCCCTGGTATGTAAGAACAAAGAGACCTTCAATGACATTGGAAAACAGAAATTGAAATCTGAAAAAAAATAAATTCTTTTCCATATAGCATACAACTGACCTGCAGGACGTGTTGCCCAGAATGTCCCCACGGATAGTTAAAAAGGTTGTAAAAAGGACTGAACAGTAGACAAAACACCCACATGGTGATAATAAATACTAAAAAGACCAAGACTTTTGGATGGGTTATATACTCTGTCTTTAAATAATAAAGTTTTAGGGAGAAAATTTCCTCAGAGGCAGTTTACTCAATGAGTGCCTTCTACTGGGTTACTCATATTTCCTCTCAAACTCACAGTAATGGATAGAAATAGGATCAGAAACAGGATAGTGGACTAAACGGACTATGTTTTAATTCACTACAGAAAATCCTGTATCTGTCTCTCTGTCTGTATTTTGACTACATTAGGATTTGTATCTAGAATAGTCATGTATAGAGAGTGAGAGAGACACACACACACACATTTAAGTTAAAATCTCTTTCAGCCTTTGGGGTTTTGGCAAAATACAACATTTTCTATATATATATTTTTAAAAGGTCTTTCAAACAGCTTTAATTTTTCCAAGTAGCTTGTGTGGCTGTAGCACAAATGATCTTTTTATTCCTCGCAGGGCTGAAGATGCCATGCAGAATGTTTAAGACAGAAACTAAACTGCTCCTTGCTGCCAAAGGTAACTGGGTGGTTTTGCTTATTCTAATTTTTTTTTTTTTTAAATAATGATAGTTAGACTCTCATCTGATATAAATAATTTAGGCTAAAACTATAGTCAGAGGAACTCTGCTGAGTTATCTTAGCTGAGGATCTGCCAGATATTCATATTATTGAGCCCATTTCAAGGCCTTTGTAAGTATTTAATAAATGCAGCTATAACAAAAAAATATGAATGTTGGCTCACAACCAGTAATCTGATACACCCAAGCAAACAAATGTTTAGTGATGTAAAATATTGAACTATTAGATATGAATAAGAATAATGTTCAGAAATATATAGAAGTGCATATCATACTAATGGGGACTTAGTAAATTGAAAGCTTTTTCATATATAGCCCCAATATTCATTGCTTGGGTTATTGTCGCCTGCTACAGTCATTCCCTGCTTCTTAACAATCAATGTGAAGTTCACAATCATTAATAAAAATGAATGATAATTTCATTAGCTGATAGCATGTCATTTCTGTACTTTAAATCAATCGCCTCCTTAAATCCATGTGTAAGTGTTGTATTCACTGCACCTTTACCCTTTGGTTTCTGCACTATCCCCTGAATTAAAAAAAAGAGTTTGCTCTTTATAATTGTTCTGACAGGAGTGATCATTCCTCAAATTCTTCCTTTATGCTGGGGATTTAAGATACTTAAAATGGAATAGATTCAGTATAATAAACCTGTTCAGTCAAGTGTCTAGTATCACTGAAGGATCAGAAAGCATGTTTGCATTTATCCCTTTACAGTACTGTTTACTTTAAAATAAAATCATAGAATAATATACTTTTGTTTTACCTAACAAAAGAAGTTTGACAGTCCTGGCATCCCGCTCTGCATCTTGCTGGAGTTTCTTCTCCAATTCCTTTGATCTTTTGGCTGACTCTTTACTCTCTGAGCTGGCACCGCTACCCATGGCGTGGGGTTACAGAGCCAGTGTATATCTAAGTAGAAAAAACGCTTTAGTTCAAACTCTTCAACAGCAATGCTTTAATGAAGTCTGAAATGTCCCATTCAGCCTCCTCTCTATAGATTCAAATTAAGTAGTTGCTTTTCCCCTGTCACATGACTTGAAGATGCTACTGACAGGAATTTATACTGGGACACAGAATTACAGCCATATGATGTCAGAAAATGCAAATATCCCATTCAGCTATTACACCCATGGAAAAGCATGATAGAAGAGCATGAGCATTTCCATACCAAATTGAACCAAGAGCCATCTAGTTCAGCATCCTGTCCTTAGTGAGATGGGAAAGTGAAAGAAACCCTAAGGTACCCAATTTTAGGATAACACTGTTTAGGGGGAATGAATTTTTCACCCCAGGAATTAATCTTTGGCTTATGTCCTGAAGCAAAATGTTCCTTCCAAACATTTGGGAACATTTATTTATTTTTAATCTTTCTAAACATTCCCTTTATCCACATAGAAATGTGCAGCTTCATAGCTACTTGTTTATGCTGATTTTAACATTAATAAATTGGGATGCCACAATGCTCTCTAGTTTCACACTATAATGATACTATAAGGACAGAACAAGGAGCAATGGTCTCAAGTTGCAGCAAGGGAAGTTTAGGTTGGATATTAGTAAAAACATTTTCACTAGGGGGGTGGTGAAGCACTAGAAAGGGCTACCCAGACAGGTGGGTGGACTCTCCATCCTTGGAGGTTTTTAAGGCTGGTTCTGCTTTGATCAGCGGGTTGAATTAGGTCCTTTCCAAACCTAATTTTTTATGATTCCTTGATGCCGTGCCTTATGTTTGCTTCAATAATATTTAGGTTTTATTCCAGTTTGCAACTTCTCTAAGATGCCCACTCGTGCATAGTCACCTAATGGTGAAAGCTATGGTATCTTTGCCATTTTGGGTCACCCTAGAAATTGCTATTGAATGTGATGCATATAACTTTTAGCCAAAAATATCACTGCCCTTTTTCTGGAAGAAAGGACTTCTTTAAAGGCATGAGGCCAGATTCTCTCCTTTGGGTCCAACACAAAGGAGTTGCAAAGTTGGCATTTTCCCCTGGCTTGAAGCCAGCTGCTATGATCTCCTCTTTAGTCAATGCTGCGTTATAATGATTGTCAGGCCTTGGAGGCCTGGAAACAGCTCCTTTTCAGTCCCGTTTCTCCAGGTACAAACTGCATCCGGTTGGAGAATTCAGCTGAAATGATGCCTAGATCTTACTCATTTCTTACTTCAAAGGCTGATATTCTGGTCCTGTTGGAATCAGCACAAATTTGTTGCTGACTTCAGCAAAACAATGATTTTACCTTACAGAAAAATTGCTTCTGTGTTTGAGTAAATACGTGCTCTGATTCTACAATGATACGATTTGAAAATCAAGGGATTATTGCAAGATGCATACATATACTAGCAGGTATGCTGGTTTGGCTCCTTCAGTGTATCCCTTCTGCTCAGTGCATCAGGAAAACTAGGTTTCCTGTGTCTCCTGGAGGGCTGGAAGCAGTTGCTAAGTGTCAACAGCTGAGGTTTTGCATATTTATTTACACAGCAAGAAAAACTGTTGTGCTCAGTCTACATTCCTGTTTTGTTTATTCTTTAAAATGACAGGTAACAAGATCTCTGTGCATCTGCACTCATGCATAAATCTTTCCATTTGTTTTAGAAATTAACATATGCAATGGCACAAGTGCGGTCCTGGTGCCAGGCATCTCTTTGTTAGAATTTGGGCCCATCCTGGAGTAAAATGCTTCGATAAACTTCAGGGTGATTAGAACATTATATATATATATATATATATATATATAATTATATATTATAATTATAATATATAATTATATATATATATATATATAATCTACACACATCTATAGCAATTTTAATCTATATTGAATTCCCACTTTTCTCCTTGATCAGGAGTCTAGAGCAGGGGTTCTCAGCCTTTTTCTTTCTGAGGCCCCACTAGCATGCTATTCAAAGGGCCTCCTGGATGGTAAAAGGGGCACAATACTGAAGTAGAAGCAGGAACCATATTGGGGTCATAATGATCAGACATCCTCCAATGGCCTTTGTAAAATATGGCGAACTTCCTGGTGCTGCACAAGTACCCATGGTTCCACTTTTTATATATTCTCAGCAATCATATCAGCCATCTCCTCTTCTGAAGCAGCACTCAGCTTCTGCCTCAGAAGTGAGATATGATCTTAGTTCATTTGTCCTTAGGACAGGATGATGCATGATAGGGCTATGCGAAGCTTCAGGTGCTGATTTGATTCGGAGGAGATTAGGCCCGATTCGGTGGCTAAATCTCCAAATCTGAATTGAATTGGGGGACCAGTTAAAAAGTCTGAAATGATTTGAAGCTCTCTGAATCAATTTGGAAAAGATTCGGAGAGCTTCGACAATTCAGGCAGTTCCCACCTGCTGCAGCAGGGACCTGGACCCGGACTGGGAGCAGGGGAGAGGAGGCTGGAGGAGGGGGGAGGGGACCATGGGTGGACTCCTGCCAGGCCCATCCTCTTC